AAATCTCTTGGTTTCGTGCAACATGCCTATATCATTAGTGGCAAGTAAGATGTCATCGACATACAGAACCAGAAAAATATACTTACTCCCACTGAACTTGTGATATACACAGTCATCAACAATGTTCATCTCAAAACCGAACGAGATAATTATTTGTTGAAACTTATGATACCATTGACGAGGAGCTTGCTTGAGTCCATAGATGGATTTCCTTAATTTGCAGACCATATTCTTTGGGTCTCCCGACACAAAGTTTTCTGGTTGCACCATATAGATCATCTCATCAATGTCTCCATTGAGAAATGCAGTCTTAACATCCATCTGATGTAACTCAAGGTCATAATGAGCAACAAGTGCCATGATTATTCTGAAAGAGTCTTTCGATAAAACCGGAGAGAAAGTCTCTATATAATCAATGCCTTCCTTTTTAGTATAGCCTTTAGCCACAAGACGTGCCTTGTACCTCTCCACATTACCATTTGCATCCCGCTTGGTTTTAAAAATCCATTTACAACCAATTGGTTTTGCACCTTCTGGCAATGGGACAAGTTCCCAAACCTTATTGTCTTGCATAGACTTATACTCTTCATTCATGGCATCAATCCACTGTTGAGAGTTAGAACTTTTCATAATATTCCATTACTTTCCTCATGTTCTTGGAGAAATACAATATAATCATCCGAAATAGCATTTCTCCTTTCTCTCGTGGATCTCCTTAGTGGCACTGGTTCTTGAGGTTGTTGAGTTTGTTCTTCTGGAACAGGGAGTTCAACATTGCCATCTTGAGGTTCCGAATTTACTTCTTGAGCAACAACAGGTATAGGAACCTGAATATTATCAGAAGTAACTGTATGGATTGGATCTGAGTCCAATTCCTCCTCAAAAACAATGTCTCTAACCTTATTTCTCCCCCCAAACTCAACATCCTCAAAGAATGTTGCTGTTCCCGTCTCAAAAATATTCCTTATAGTGGGATCATAAAACTTATAGCCCCTAGAGCGATCAGGGTACCCAATAAAGTAGCTGCTAACTGTTTTGGAGTCCAATTTCTTTTCATTTGGCCTATAAGGCCTTGCCTCAGCTGGACATCCCCAAATATGTAAATGCTTTAAACTGGGCTTTCGACCAGTCCAAAGCTCATAAGGTGTTTTAGCAACTGCTTTACTTGGTACTCTATTCAGAATGTAAGCTGCTGTCTGAAATGAGCTCATTTAGAGTCCATTTCTCCTTTTGATAGTTATAACTGACCTTAAATTGATTAAACTGTGCAGGAAGAGACAACAAAACCAGATGCACTAATAACTCGTCACAAAGATCGAGTTTAAGTGCCTTAAGCTTTGAAGCAATATGAGACATTTCCATAATGTACTCCCTGATGTTTTCTTTGCCCTTATACTTCATTGAAATCAAGCGAGCTAAAAGCGTGCTTGTTTCTACCTTATCGTTTTTCGCAAAACACTTCTCAATTTCGGCAAGGAAATCTTTAGCCTTAGTAATCTCTTCGGATTCTATGCCCCTGAAGGCTTCCGGAACGCCGCGCTTAATGATCATAAGACTCATGCGATTTGAACGCTCCCACTTCTCATGCTCCTTCTTTGCATCAGGAGTGCTATCCGCATTGAGAGGTTGGGGTTGTTCAGTTCTTAATGCATAGTCAAGATCCATGCAGCCAAGAACAATTAATATGTTCTCTTTCCAAACCTTGAAGTTTGTCCCATTTAGCATGGGAATTGAGTTGATGTTAGCAGAAATTGTTGCAGCAGATGCATTAGCTGAAATAAAACAAAAATGCTCACATCAATAACCATAATCAATAAAATTCAAATAATGACAATCCCCATCCAAGATACCGGCACAACATTAATATCAAGTCTTTGGACAGTAATATTAACTTGTAAGTGATACCTTGTTGCAATGATCAAACATTGACAATAACTCATGTCAAATAATGAAACTATCTTTGGATCGATTCATTATTCACATGTAAACCTTATAATTGTCACACGCTTATCATCGCAGATGTGTATACAGTCTAAATAAATATTAACCTTCCTTTGGGCCGATTAAATATTTACACGAAAGCATACACACAAACATCTCACATTCCTCATGAACAATCTACACAAGAGAGGTTACTTTGGCAACTTCTTGTTTCAATTAATCAATTGGAGTGAGAGACAACCTTAATACCTTAGTGTCATAATATTTGAATTAAATAATTGATTAAAACCAAATTAGATTTAAATTAATAATTTAAATCAACTGAATTTCTAAAAACTTAATTGGGGTCTCACAGCTTAATTAGGGCCCATAACTTAATTGAATAAATTAAGTATACCAAAGTGGGCCCATAACTTAATTGAATAAATTAAGTATACCAAAGTGGACCCATGAAAAGCCGAGGCTTAACCATTGTGAACACGAAGTTCGCTTGACTTCGAACGCGAGGTTCGACTGTATTGAGTACGAGACTCACTTAAGCACGAACGCGAGGTTCGCCTGAAAATGAACGAACGCGAGGTTCGTTTGATAAAAGAACGCGAGGTTCAACTTGGGAACGAACGCGAGGTTCGTTTAAAAAATGAACGCGAGGTTCGACTGAAGTACGAACGCAAGGCTCGACTGAAGCACGAAAGCGAGGTTCGTGTTAAAATTGAGCTTGACGCTCACCTGAGTTGAACGCGAGGTTCACCTTAGAACGAACGCGAGGTTCGTTAAAATTGAGCTTGACGCTCACCTGAGTTGAACGCGAGGTTCACCTTAGAACGAACGCGAGGTTCGTTAAAATTGAGCTTGACGCTCACCTGAGTTGAACGCGAGGTTCACCTTAGAACGAACGCGAGGTTCGTTGAGCGCGAAGCTCGGTTAAAATTGAACGAACGCGAGGTTCGTTTGAAGCTTTCAGCTTCGCCAAAATTTGAGGTAACCACCTCCTTAATGTTCGGCACGTTTCATGCACGAACCCTTAGGGTTTCAAAACCGAAACCGCCGCCGACAAACCCAAAAAAAAAATTCCTCGATTTTATTTTTCAAAATCAGATCCAGACCAAGAAAAAATCGAAGAAAAATCCAAAAAATTCCAAAAAGTTTTCGTTACTGTTCATCCGAAAAAAAACTTTAATGTTCATCCGAAAGTTTTCGTTACTGTTCATCCGAACAAAAATTACTGTTCATCCGAAAACAAAACTGAATCTTTAACCAGAGATTTAAGATCAAAAAACCCAATAAAACTTAAATCCCTAAGAATTAATCAAGGTGGCTCTGATACCACTTGTTAGATCTAAACCAAAACTTGAGATCTAAAACCATATAGCCATGATTAATTCAAAGAGATTAACAAGAATCTAAAAAGAGCGGAAGCTTATACCTAAATCCATAGATTGATCTTGATTTTGGGTTTTGGATCTTCTAACCTTAGGGTTTTCTCCTTTAGCCGAATTTCTCTCTTAGATGGGGGTGAAGAGAATTAGAGAGTGTTACCCTAGGTTAGGGACCATAACCCCTTATTTATAGATGTTGTACTTTTGTAATTTAGCCCCTCAATAAATCACAATTACAACCTGGTATCTGCACATATAACCCCATGACTTATTTAAATACTCAATTAACCCAAATTAATTGATCACTTTAGTGGGTTATCCTGAAAGATAGCAATACACATTGATTAATCGTATGTGCCCACAAATAGATTTATTAGATTAAATCCAACACCTCCAGCTCTAAACTATCTCCAACACTAAACTTTACGTTAGCATGCAGAATGTTCTAATATGATCCGTATTCAAATAAAATGTGTGAAAGGACAGTTAAAATCAAAGAATCTACAATTGAACTGTTTATATTGGAGCAAAAGGAATTAGAAGTATGAATGATTGATTCCAAAGATAATATGTATATTTTATATGATGTTCCTGGCCTCTGATTTCATGTCTAAAAAGGTTGATTCGAAGTGAAGGGGAAGTGAATATTTGAAAAAAATCCTGGGACCTAGACGCAATATTGGTTGTCTGTTCAATGAATTGATTTACTTACCGCTCGTTTTTGGGGCCAAGTGGGCCTGGTGGAGTAGTACATGTCCCATTCTTTGATCCAAATTGGAGCTTATATAATCTTGACTCACAAATTACATGATAGATTAAAAGGAATCATGCTACCATCAGTACTGAAGGGAATTGATCAGATGGAATAAAAACTTTTAACCCTTTTGTTATTATCCCATAGAGTTCAAAGTTGATGTTGTCATTATATCAACAAAAACCTCATAAATTTGTCATCAGATGCTCACAGCACATAAACATACAAAATATAGTTTTGATAATTTAAATAATACTGCAAACATTAAAACGTAAAATCATTCTTTTGGTCATCCGCGTATCTTCCTACTTTTCTAAAATACTAAAAAATCCTATAGTATAAAAACAGTACAAAATCAATAGTATAAGTGTGCATAGTATCAGCCGATTTGACCATCACTCAAATGCTCTAATGCTGCCAACTCACTGGTGTCTCCAGAGATAACCAAGCTGGTGAAAATGAAGCTAAATCTAGACGATATTTGCTGAAAGCGATTGATTAAAGTAGTATGAACAAGTTACGAGCTCAGCAGCCAGCAACAGTTAAGCATCGAGTTGATCCCCAACCTGTTTCCGTAGTAAAATACCAAGTTGCTCCCTCCTCGCCACAGAACAAAGTCTCCTTTTCTTCGGTCATCAAGACTTGCTCATCTCTCTACCGCCCGCAATCAACCGATAAACAAAAACATTTATACACAAAAAAGTGCTTTTCCCAACGTTTCACGTGAAGGAGTAAATTAAGGAGGGAGATGAGAACAATTTCGTTAAAACAAGTTGGGACGGAAGGGAGGAGGACCAGAGCCTGCTGGGACCCACGCCCTTAAATTGGAGGACAGAAAGCCTAACGGGGCCCCGCTAGCTCTAAGAGCAAACTACAAATACTCCCAACCCCCCGAGCCCCTTGAGAGCAGAAACGGAGCACTCTGCTTTCGTTTTCCCCTTTCTTCTTTATAAAAAAAAAAAAAACAGAGGCCAAAACAGAACAGAAAACAGAGCGTCCTTCTGTTTCCGATGGCCAGACCTCAGCAAAGATACAGGGGCGTTCGCCAAAGACACTGGGGATCTTGGGTCTCTGAGATCCGACACCCATTACTGTAAGATTTCGATAAATTTTCATTATCGGGGTTATTCAGTATTAGTCCCTCAAATCTTCAACAGTTCCGTGTTAGTCTCCCATGCCTTTGAAATTGCATATAGTAAGGGATATTTGGGTTATTGAGAGAACAAATTGCAACACCCCTTGGGATTTGAAGGAACTACGAGCAATTTCAAAATGCTGAGGGACTAGTATCTAATTAACTGATTTCGAACGATATGCTCTGTTTCTGTTCTCAAACTTTTGCTCTGTGATACTTTTTTTTCAGCAAAACAAGAATTTGGCTGGGGACATTTGAGACAGCAGAGAGCGCAGCGAGAGCCTACGACGAGGCAGCGAGGCTAATGTGTGGGCCGGCAGCGAGGACTAATTTCCCCTACAATCCCAATTCCTCTTCTTCTTCTTCTTCTAATTCTAGATTTTTATCAGCAGCTCTCACTGCTAAGCTTCATAAATGCAATATGATGTCCCTTGATCGAGCTAATCAGTCAATTGCGAAGAAGCCCATGGTTTCGATGAAGCAGGGTGAGATTAAAATTGAACAGAGAGAGATGCAGTGGAGTTATTTGGAGGAGGAGCACATTGAGCAGATGATTGAGGAGTTGCTGGACTCTGGACTGTCGATGGAGATAGTTAGTTAGTACTCATTTAGTAATGACTAGTAATGTAATGTAGCTTTTTATTTTATTTTTTTTCCTTCTAAGTTGAGGTATGAGATTGGATAATGCTGAGTTTAATTGTACAGGGTTATATGCGAGTTATTGAGTTGATATTTTTCTGAAAGATGAATCCGCAATGGTACATGTTTAATATGTAGCTGGTGTATGGAGAGAAGACTAATTTTTTGGATGAATGTTAATCCTAAAATAAATAAAAATATTAACTTATTTTGGATCTAGAAGTAATCTCTCATTTCTTAGTTGGTAACTGAAGAAAAAAAACTGACCTCGACGGCGGCGATCGTCGGAGTCGGAGGTGCAAACAACGACGGCGGATCGTCGGAGACGGAGGCTGCGATCGGCGACGGGGACTGCAGATCTGGAGGAGGCTCCGCTGCTCGCCTGTTGAAAGGGGCGAAGCTTTCGCCTGACGGCCGGTTGAAGATGTCGTCTGCGGGTTTTGGAGAGGCGACCAAATCTCGCCTGTTCGAGTGCGAGCAAACTCGCCAGGAGGGAACTCGCCTGCGGGCGTTGATTTCGCCTGCGTGGGTGGGATCCAACTGGATCGCACCAACTGCCCTAGGGTTTCCCTATAAAAGGGAAACCCTGTTCACGAGATCAAAATGAAGCTCACTCGCGTTTTTACAGAGGCGTTTTCTCACCTCTGTGACGGCTGCTCTTCTCAAGGTCAATTGAGAAGTGAATTTTTCGGTGAAGAAAAATTGCACAGTCATGTAGCAAATATTTACTACAGTAAAGAGTTGTTGTGAGAGATCTCAAGTTAGAGATTCTCTCTTTTACAAGCTTTGTAATTTCTTGTGGTTGAATAAGAAATTATTTGTGTAGCTCCCGTGGACGTAGACAAGTTTGCCAAACCACGTAAATCTGTTGTCTCGTCTCATATACTTATTGTTTTACTAGTTTTTACACACGTGCAATGCACGTGATTTAATACCATGATTAAGTATTTTTGGCAGTTTGTGCTTATTTTTTTCTGTAAACTCTTACATCCCAATTATTTTTTATGTTTGTTTAAATGGGATACACCCAATTTAAATTTTCATGTTGATATTTGAATTGAAAAAAAATAAATATAATTTAAAAATAATTTGAATATTCATATTATTTTTGACAGATATGAAACTAAGCTTTATTTGAGAAAGTATAGCATTGCAAAGTAAAAAATATTAAAATAGTGTTATACAAGGAAGGTGAATGTTTAATACCAATATGACAAAATGATTGATTTAAAGTATGTTAAAACGATGCAAAAGAGAATATAAAGTTTATTCTTAATCATTGATAGACTTCATAAAAAAATATAAATTAAAGATTAATGCTAACTCTAGTATACTTTTATATGATAAAAACATCCACATAAGAATATAAAAGTACTGAAAAAAATTCATGAAACTCCCTTCTAAAGATTCCTAATTTCACTCAAAATAATTAAACTATTCTATAAAATATTCATAAAATATTGTTTTTATTTCTTCTATTTTATTTTTTATTGAGTTAAGATCAATCCTTCTTCAGGTTTATCATTTATCATTTCTCGGACAATTCTAGAGTATTGTCTTCATCATCTACATCAATTGTGACATCAGGCTAATTTTGTATTTTTTTATGCTATTATCTTTCCTGGGCTCGTTAATTTTTTATCATCTCATTTAACTTTACAAAGAAGTCAAATGTACTTATGATGTTCAACACAAACTGCTCAAAATATAGACTTTGATTTTTTTTTTATTTCAATGAGAATAAATATTAATTTCATATATATAAAATTCTTTGTGTTCCTAATTTATTACTTAAATAAATTAGAAGCTATCTCTTTATTTTCCTCTAAAATGAATTCTTCTGATATGCATCCAATAAGAATTTTTGTTATTTCAATAATATTACCTTTGCTCTATCCCTGTTATTTTCCATAAAGATCTAAACTAAATACCTGCATTATTCATTACCAATTTCTCTTAGATTATAATATTAATATTTAATTTGAAGAACACAGTATGGAATTTATGAATAGTTACTAATTTTTCTTATGTCTTCCATGAAGATTTTTTCTTTGATTAGGATAAAGTTATTAAATTATGTTTTAATGTAACTCATTCAGTGCTTCATTAATAGATATGTCTTATGTTAATGCCAATTCAAGTGATTCATTGACGTTTTCTGAATTTTAGATTTATTTCCATCACTTTCCTATTTGCAATGGAAATAACTCAATTCTTTTCGGACAATTCTAGAGTATTGTCTTCATCATCTACATCAATTGTGACATCAGGCTAATTTTGTATTTTTTATGCTATTATCTTTCCTAGGCTCGTTAATTTTTTATCATCTCATTTAACTTTACAAAGAAGTCAAATGTACTTATGATGTTCAACACAAACTGCTCAAAATATAGACTTTGATTTTTTTTTCTATTTCAATGAGAATAAATATTAATTTCATATATATAAAATTCTTTGTGTTCCTAATTTATTACTTAAATAAATTAGAAGCTATCTCTTTATTTTCCTCTAAAATGAATTCTTCTGATGTGCATCCAATAAGAATTTCTGTTATTTCAATAATATTACCTTTGCTCTATCCTTATCATTTTTCATAAAGATCTAAAATAAATACCTGCATTATTCATTACTAATTTCTCTTAGATTATAATATTAATATTTAATTTGAAGAACACAGTATGGAATTTATGAATACTTACTAATTTTTCTTATGTCTTCCATGGAGATTTTTTCTTTGATTAGGATAAAGTTATTAAATTATTTTTTAATGTAACTCATTCAGTGCTTCATTAATAGATATGTCTTATGTTAATGCCAATTCAAGTGATTCATTGACGTTTTCTGAATTTTAGATTTATTTCCATCACTTTCCCATTTGCAATGGAAATAACTCAATTCTTTTAAAGTTATCTCTAAATATTCTAATAGTTTCTCCATATGTAATTCCTTGTATTCTTTTACCCTATAAATATTATTAACGTCAAAGATTAAAGTTTCTAAATTAAAATCAATTAATGCTAAGGTATAATATTATAGTGTTTTATCATTTCTATGGATTTAAACATCTATCAATTAATGTTACGAATGTATTTTGGCTACCCCAACTTATTACTAAAATTATATGAAATTACTTTAATTTATATAGTGCCGATAATTTTTAATCTATAATATTTTTAAAAATTTTATCCATTAACCGGATGTTTTTAATCAATTCTTATTGTTTTTGTTTACCAGTATCAACTTAGACTATTCTTAGATGCTGAAAATGGATAGTAAATCCCTAAATTAGAAATTTTAATATATATATATATGAAAAATACCAAACAATTACACTTTTCTTTGCCAAGTTTTAAAATTTTAGCCCATTTTTATGGTTTTGAACTTTGAGGGTGTGATTTATAATTTTTAAATTTTTGAAAGAGTTTTTAAAAAAAATTACTTTTAAGTTTGGTAGTTGTAAATTCTATGTTTCATGTCTTGGTGGTAATTTTTTAAATGTTAGTATATTTCTTGTAACTCTAAAATTTTGAGGGTGTCTTTTGCAATTATTAAAACTATAGATTAATTTTGAAAAATATTAAATTTCAGTGGTCTACCAATCGACGAATTTGATGTGTGCTAGTTAATTTTGAAAAATATTAAATTTCAGTGGTCTACCAATCGACGAATTTGATGTGTGCTAGTTAAAAATTTTAAAAATTTAGAGTTTTTTTTTACAATTTTTAAATTTTGAGGTTAATTTTGGCAAATTTTAATTTTTAGGTGTCTAAGGGTAATATCTTGAATTCATCTTATTTTATTTACAAATTTTAGAATTTTAGGGTGGCTTTTTATAATTTAAACTTTTGAAGGTGTTTCTATAATTTTTGAGATATTGAGGATGTTAATTAAAAATTTTAAATTTAAATATCAAAAATTTTAGGTGTATTATGGTAATCTCTTAAATTCATCTGTGTTGTTTGTAAGTTTTAAAATTTTACAATTTTAATGTGCTTATCTGTAATTTAAACTTTTGAGGATGTTTCTATAATTTTTGAGACATTAAGGTGTTAACTGTAAATTTTAAATTCTTTACAAACTGATGTTAATTTATTAATTTCATGTTTTTTATTTTAAATTTTGAGACATTTGGATGAGTTTTATAATTTTAAACTTTCCAGGGTCTTTTCTGTAATTTTAAAACTTTTTATGGTTTTTTTGCAATACTTCATGTATTATAATATGTTATCTACTTGTAATTTCTTTATCTTAACAAACTAATATCATTTTTATGTTTTATATATTTTATTAATATTAGTTTTTTTAAATTGTTAAGCTAAACATGGTTCACATAGGATTAGGATAAGATATGATTATGATTAGGATAGATTAAGATATAAATAAAATATTTAAAATAGTGATGAGTAATATTGACCATTGAAAATTAGAATTTGATTATATATAAGATAGTTCAAACTATAAATGAGTATATTTGTCTAAAAAAGATTTTTCGAACTCGTGCTTTTAAAGGGAGTATGATATGTGTAGTCACCTATTGTTTGTATTGGTTAGTTTGAGTTTGGCTTAAACTCGAGCTAGGATTGTTTTCTCTCAGAATTTATTTAGCTTCCGCGGCGGTGTGTGCGTACCGTGTCCCAACAATTGGTATCAGAGCTCTTGTTCAAATTAGAGGTGGTAAAATTTCCAATTTGAGGTGGTGCTTGATTATTGTTGAAATTACTGAGAGAATTGGATTTATTAATACAAGCGAAAAATGACGTCTACAAGTAAAACAGTTAAAGTGGGAAAGTATGAGATTGAGAAATTCAATGGGAAGAATGATTTTTCCTATTGGAGGATGCAGATGAAAAATTCGATGATTTCGCAAAAATTACACAAGGCTTTGACGGGAAAAGAAAAGAAGCACAAAGATATGTCTGATGAGGATTAGGAGGACCTGGATCTGAAAGCATAGGCGTCGATTATCCTTTGTCTTGAAAGGGATGTAGCTTTCTTGGTGGATGGAGAGGAAACGGCTGCGGGTGTGTGGTTAAAATTAGAAAGCACCTTCATGACGAAGAGTCTAACGAATCGGATCTATTTAAAATCCAAATTATACACTTGCAA